TCGTTCGCGGCAGCGTCTTGCTGTGAGATCGCTGCTGCAGTTTGCAGCAGCGACGTCGCGAACAGCAGCGCTGCTGCAAACTGCAGCAGCAGCGTCGCGAACGACGCAGCGTCAATTGGGCAGAGAGAGGCGGCGGATCTGGCCGGAATCAGCCGTAAAAACGAGATAGAGGAAGAGTTGTAAAGAGGAGGAGATGAAGAACTCGACGGCCGTGACGGTGACGGCGACGGCGTGAGCAAATACACGAGAGGAGGATGAAATTGGAGCGGGCGGCGGGCGGCGAGCGGTGGGAGGTTGGAGTAAGAGGAGAGAGGTTGGAGTGAATAGGGTTTGTTCATTTTTTATATGAATAGGGTTTGTTCATTTTTTATTGTATATAAATTTAAAAATAAAAATAAAAAATATTTTTTAATTATTAAATAAAACCTGATTTTTGAAATTTTGAACTTGTTATTGGATTTTTGAAATTGAAAATCTATTTTCAGGCGTTGGTGTAATTTTCTCTTCTATTAATTTCATGCAAATCCATAAAAAGCCCATGAAATCCACATAAGTCATCGTTTAAAAAAAATCTATAAAAGTTTTCAAAAGTTTCAAATGAATATACTCTCTTAAAAAAATTTTAAGAAAAAACAAAAAGTTATTTGTAAAGACTTTTCATGTACAAGAAAATCTACTTAATTTACATTCCTTTCATTTTAAAAACATTCCAATCCGAAACAAAAATAAAACTTTTCTATTAAAGATTTTTCACTTTCTGATTTCTGTTTTGAATATAATTTTGGTTGTTATTCTAAAATTAATGCTAAGAATAATCTACTGAGGAAAAAATTATTTTAAGACTTTTCATGTAATAAAAGCTAAGGGTCCGTTTGAATGCAAGAATGGAATTTGTGAAAAGAAAATGAATTTCAGTTAATGAAATTGCCTAAAACTTATTTTACTGTAAATTATCAATTAATTGTGTTTGATTGGTATAATTTTTCATCTGAAAAATATTGAAATTTTGGATCTTTTAGTGTTCGTTTGACTTTGTTTTTCATGAAAATTGTTCATTAAAATGATATAATTTGTTTCCATTTTAAAAAAAAAATTGTCTAGAAAAATTTTTCCCACCAAACCCATGGGAAAAGCTTTTTCTCAAAAATAAGAAAGTGTGGAAAATCAAAAAAATGTGAAAAACGAATTCCATGAAAAATTTAGTCAATCAAACATGCAAAAATGTGGAAATATAATATAATTTTCATCTTCCATAGAAAAGAAAGTCAAATCAAACAAGGTCTAAATGAACTTTTATTTCCAACAAATTCTATACATATTTTTTTATTATTATTATTTTGGAAAACTGCATTCTAACATAAAGCAAATTCAAATGACAAACGATAAAGGATGAAAATGTTTTTAGAAATTAACCCAAACTTATCAAACTAGAAAGAAACTAAGGAGTTAAAGTGAATTCAAATCCATAAAAAAGGTTAAAATCTTCAGCTAGGGCCTAGGCATACCCCATTTTCATGTATCTAAGAGTCCTCTTAACTTCGCCTATTAATTCGTGGGGATGTACGATCTTGAATTGTCTTTCGTTACAGCCAGGCTTCGCCAACCAATATGCAAATCTCTCTCTCTCTCTCTCTCTCTCTCTCTCTCTCTCTATATTTGAGAGAGATTCATTTGTTTTTGCCAATAGAGACTTCAATTATGCCTCTTGTACAGTGTCGAATGACCTTTTTTTGACCGTCCGTCTAAGACCGTCTATCTGTTTAAATCCTGGTCATTAATTGAAAAAAGTGTTGTTAAAATCATTGTATAAAAATTTGTCAATTCACATGATATCAAAAAAATTGTCGAACTTGATGTACATATAACATGATATTGAAGCGAATTTCCTTCAAGTGGTTTTGTACAATCCATGGCCGATAAAGACTTCTTGCAGAGAGTAAGTTTGGTAAGAGGTTAGGTGTTCATAAATACTTTGATTTAAAAAAAAAATTATCAAATTACTTTTTATATATAACACATTCCGTAAGATCCACAAATATTACTGAATTCTCTCACAAATTTGTCGTTGTCTAAAAATACTAATGTTTAAACATCTTGCGAGATTTAGCACTAATTTACCGTAAGCCACATTCCTTCTAAAAGTTACTAATAATCAATCTCTCATTAGAATTTACGCATGGGAACTCTTCTTAGTGTACCAATCGTGCGTTTCTAGTTAAATACGAAATCTATACATATTCTCAATCACAAACAAAAAAAAAAAGATTGATGGATAGAAAATTTCACGCTCACAATTTAGGAGGAAATCAAAGATTTTACAAAGACATTTTCTTTTAGAAATTACCAGTTCCACCAAATAAAAAGCTGCTTTCTTTTAGAGTAGGATATTTAATTACAGCATTTTTAATTGTTTAAGAACAAGGGGGTGTACTATGATTTATGACCACCGTCCATTGCCGCCGTCAAATGGCAAGCATAAGCTCCGGCAATGACCGTTTGCCGACGGCTTTAGGGTGGCTCTCCCACAACAAAATTGAACTCAAACAGCTTCTAAAATCTGTGACAGTCAGCCAAGTATTGAAGTATTCTCTAAACTGAGTAATTAAGCCATCTTTTAAAGACCAAACATGCACCCAGTAAACCTGGGCTCCTTCCCACCCTTCCACAATTACACAGTCATCGATGGCATCAATGCTACGAGGCTCAAACTTGAATGCCGATGGAGACGATATTCCGGTCAGCATTTTCATCATATGGTGACAGTTTTGTGGGCCGTGGAACCACCATTCTAGGTCACTAGTAACAACTCCGGCAACCGTGGTGGCATCGCCTGTTGCTACTGCCTTGTAAAGGGCATTAACTGTTGCCTTGTTCTGATTTTCGGCCACCGCCACGGTTGTATCGACATTCTTGGCATCCATTTGAGACGAAATGTAGGAGAAATAATAGAATGACAAGTTTTTCTTGCATGGTAAGGCCAAGAGGGAGGCTTTTTATATCGAAAATTTCAAGAGAGAAGAGACCCACTAGTATAAATTGTAAAATGACATAAAATGGCCCATTTTAAATATTAATTATTAATATGGGGTCTGCTTTGGTACTGTTATGCAACTTATAATTTGAAAAATACAATGATAAAATAGTTAGCACCGGTACCAAATAACCCTACGACTCAATCAGTTTCATTTTCAGGCAAAAAGATTGCTAATTTTAATACGTTTTCTTTCGATGGAGTCCAATTCAAATTATACCTTTGGCCAAAATTATAGAGTTCATTCGTTACGTTGCTACTCATTACAAAAATCCTCTCTTTTACACATAATGCAAACTAACGTACATATATTACATATGCGCATATATATATTGTAAAAAACTAAATAAATTAAATAAATAATTCTTTTTTTCATATTTTGGATAGTTTCAAAATGTGCTACCAGACAAAGCTCATTGTACAATCATTGGAGCATTTAAGGATTCCAGTTGGATCCAACCTGGAGCCACTCGTGTACACTGTTTAGACATTCTTCGAAACCAGCTAAGAAACGAGACATTATTATCTAAGTGTACAATGAATTGAATGTTGAAAATGAATGCCCTATGGACGTGAAGTCGGCATAAGGGAAAGACCAATTATTTGTGGGATCTTAATTTTGAGAATTCTTGTCCGAAATAATTTATGAAGGAGCCCTACAATGAGATGTGTATGTATATATATGACTCTTGTTTAAAAGCTTTAAATCGTAATTCCATTTTTGTTTTAACCAGTACTTCAACTCGATAAGCATGAAGATATTCATGACTCTGTACCATAAGAAATGAAGTTCAAACTGCAGGGAACTTGAGAGGTTCTCTACTGCATAATTTAGGTTTACTCGTTCTTCACCAATCACAGCCACAAGAACACCAAAAATGAAATTAATGAGTTAAGTTCAGTCCTTTTCCATGCCAATAGTAAAGAGGATCCCGAGGTATGCAATTATTAGGTAATCGGTGCCAATTTATTGATCAAAGTAAGCACACGCGTATACCGATTCTTAATTGGACCACGCAATAGTAAGTAAATGCTCTTCAACAGATATTAAGTTTTAGGGTGGGTCCATTTATAGAGATGAAAAAATAACTCGATATCTTATACTATATTTGGTAATTGGTATGTGTAAATAGTCAAAAGAGAAAGCATTTCATGTTTGTGAATATGTCTTCCAATTGGGGTAAATAAGATTTTAGTTGGTTTGGTTGTTCTATAAAACTAGTAATGTAGAGAGCTTGGATAAGGAAAAGTGGAGAAGAGTTTATTTTTTGTCATAATCGTTAGTTATCGATGTTATATGAATCCATTTAAGAGCCACGTGGCATAGATAGGATCTAGCCGAGAAGACTAGTTAAAATTAAGACAAGTGTGACTTACTTCACGACAATGACACCATCAAAACTTCACACACTACAACAATCCGATAACATAGAGATTCCATCTTCAAAAATGACTCCTCTGCTAGTCGATGTAATGATATCATCTAAGTCAAGCCAACTCAGAGGCTTGCATTCTCACCAGCTTTGTAGAAAATAACAAGAAGAGATTCCATCTAAGATTGATACTCAGCAGTACTACTTGTAGAAATTATGTTATAGTCCTGTAGAATTTCTCCCTTACGTCTCTCTTAAATTTCAGAGATTTAACATTGTGACTTCGTGTGATACTGTTTCAAGGGCATGACTTGTGACTAAGACAAGAAAGTGTAAACACT